CCCCCAAAACCCCAAAACCCCAAAACCCCAAAACCCCACTTCCAACAGGCTGAACCCCACTATAAATAAATCCCAAACCAGCTTAATAATAAATATGAGTTCAATTCCAGAGCATTCTTCCTCTCAAGGTTCTTCTTGTGAAGGGTGGGGAGTTTGTCTGAAGCAGAGAGAGCCGTGTCCTGATAGAGAAATAACTTGAGTAGCTTCATTATCTTTGCCTTTACAGGATATCTTGAGCAAATTGCAAGGATTTGAAAATGATCGGGATATTGTCAGGATTCTTGAAAAAAAATGTGACTTCTCTGTTATTCGTGGGGATGAACTTGCTTGGCTAGCAAATTCAGAAAATCCCAAATTCGAGTTGGCGTCTATTGTTGGTTGAAGCCAACTCCTAAATCAAGAAGATCTATTTTTCGATGGATTCTTTAGTAATGACTGAGAAGTAGCACTTACAAAGATTTTTCATGAAACTGAGAATATTTACAGAAAAACTAAAATACTTGAGACTCTTACTTTTTCGATTCATAGTGATTACTGTCAGAATATAGAAGAAAGTAACTATATCAACATTTTTGTTGAATGTATCAATAGTCAAAATGAAGATATGATAAATTTTGCAATGAAGGGGCTCGGTCTTATTGCTGAAGAAAAGGATGCATTTCAAGAGAACATAGTAGAAATTGGAGCTTTACAATCAATATTTCGAAGGCTTCAAACTACTATCGGTAATTATCAGGCACAAGAGATTGCCACCTCTACAGCTTATAACTGAGTTAAAGAATTTGAGGATTTACCAAAAAGTGAACGTTTAGAGTACTTACATATTGCAGTACAATGAATTCAAGAGTGACAAAGAGAAGAAGTAACCAAGAACTTGATGGATATTACTTTTCAGCTTTGATATTCCCATGAACTTTCTGATACCCTTCACCGAGAACTTCCCATAATCAGCACCATTCTAAGAAAATGCCATTATATGAGTCTCGAAAATTGCATCCCTGGGATATTTTGAGTCACTATATTGAGTAAAATTCAGAAGCACCATGAGTCTATATTATGCCAAGATTTTTATGATATATGCTCGAGAATTTTTCAAGAATCAGATGATGAAGAGAAGATCACAAAAGCAATCCTTTATACGTTCGCAAATTTATCAAAATACGAGGAAAACAGTGTGAAGCTTTTATGTAGTAATATGTTTGCTAATCATCTCTCAAAGTATATTCTTACAGATATTACAGGTTATATGGAGAGAGAAGCAAATGGATCTGGTAATTTCTTATTAACTGTTATGGGTTATAAGAATCGACAAATTCTAGAAGTGCTCCATAAAACTGGTATCATGAAGAGACTATGCGAACTTGCTTCTTCCCAAACAGCTACATGTTCCAACAACAAAATCCTCGAAATGATTCTCTTATCATTACAAACCTACCAACACCACAAAGAAGAGATCAACAAATACAACAAGATGCGAAAACTCCTATATTCCACCCCTTCCTCTATCAGCCCCTTAATCTCCACCATCTTCCAAATGTTCCAAGCCGAGTTCTGAGATAACACTAAGCGACCACTCCTCCAAAAAATCCTCCAATTATGTCCCTACACACACTCTTCAGCTTAATTAATACCTATCACTTATTCAATATTCAACAGTCATTAGGGGTTTTGGGGTTTTGGGGTTTTGGGGTTTTGGGG